CAATTATGTTCTCACTCATATGATTACAGACCGAATTGGACTCCACTCAGTCCTATTACAATAACTAATATTTACTATTACATTTTGAAAATGTTTGTAAAATAGAGTATATTTCTTTATTTCCTAAAACAAAGCAGATCACAAAGAAATCAAAGGTATCACAAGATGCTAGTGTGGAAAAAACAACGACAGAAAAGCACAGTCTTCATGCCTGCCTACACAGCTATTGCGTAACCGATGCCCATGCGTTGGTCTAGGAATCTCGTGCACCAGAGACTGCTGCTGTAAAGGATGGAAATGTCAAGAGGGTTGCAGTTGCAAATGAGAGTCTCAAAATTGCCTGTAGATGTGGGACTTCTAAGGCAAAATCTGATCCCCAATACATTCACGAAGTTAGAGATGGAAAACGGAAGTCAAAGTGTCCATGTCTACACGTGCATAAAGGCTGTGATGAAACATGCTCACGTGTGAATTGTGGAAATATTCATCAAGCAAAGCCCAAAAGGTTATGGACAATAAACAATTCTCCACACACCACACCAATTGCGTATAAAAGGGCAAATAGTGCAAATGACTTGAGTGAAAGAAGTACAACACTATTGGATGGATCATGGACCACGGAAGAAACATGATTGATGATGTTTGTCATTTCCTTGATTGGTGCAACTACTGTATCTCCTACCACTGAACACACCACAGTATTGTATAATTATGTCATGAACTCGGCTTCCTGTAAAAAAAGTGAATTTTCTGATAAGGCAAAAAACTTGAACACAAATGCGAGGAAAATTGAAACACCTGGAGGACAAACAGAATCTTGCTGTCAAGTTAGCAGATTGATAATTATCTCATAACCACAAGCTTATCTGATCAAATGCAAATTTCCACAAGTTTATATCTGTTTTGATGTTTGGCAGCTTTTGGACGTTATTTTTGTTTGCAGAGCTGTTTCAAAAATATTTGTTATCCATATGTCTTTTACAAAGTTGCTCCTTAAGTCCCTAAAAAATCTAGCTAAGAAAACAGTATAAGCACATGAGAAAGTTAGAAGAAAAAATGAACTTAAAAGGATTAAATACATAAATGATTGATGATGGATGGAATGAATGGAGGAGTGAAAGAAGGAATCAAGCAAGCAAGGAGTGAATGAATAAATGAGCAATCAATCAATGAATTGATGAACGAAGGAATGAAGGAAGGAATGAATGAGATGCACGCAGAAACATATCTGTTTAAAATTAAAAACCACAGCGACAAACCAGCAAGGATAACCTGGATCAGTGATTGATAACTGACATATGTACAATATCAGTAGATCAGTAAATCAGTGTATTAAACAGCTATGTTTAATATTTGATCTCGCTTTGGCATCTTTTTCTTCTTCGTACCACATACTGAAGTGCTTAACAGAGAGATTAAGCAACGGCCTGATTGCTCTTGATTCAGTTTACTTTTCCTCGAAACATCGAATAAGTAAATCAGAAAAATAGACAAAATTGATTACTTCCCCATAACAGGGAACAAACAACTCACTTTCACAAATAAACAGCAAAAGGCAAACCGTGAAAGTTCGATTTTTGGATTGTGAGAAGAATGAATGAGACGCCAAAGACAATGTGAATTAAAATAAATTTATACTGTGAAAATTCTGGTTTTCAGACCACTGGGGGTCTTTATTATTAATCATTTCAAACTGGTTAATTTGAAGTTCTAAACAAGGAGTTTAGAACAGATCTAACAAAACATTTAAACTCAATTTTCGACTGCCTTCTGCGGTCTTCTTTAGAGAAGTGTACTCTGCAAAGGGCACGGAATGCAAATATGTAGCTACGACTTCACTGTTCATTGTCCCTTGGGGAGGAAACCAGTGATGCATAAACCCTTGGGAAGGGTGCTATTTCATCAACAGAGTTCTTGTCCAGAAATGGATAAAATGACTAGAGAAAGCCTTTTGGCCTTGTTTTCCACTCTTCTTGTCATTCTTTGTAATATGTCATTGCGTCAAATTCGGGATTCTTATTTTCATTTAACATATTTTAGTTTTTCACTTTTGTTTTTTATTTGTTATCATCTTATAAATGATTTGACTTTTTTTGATTTTTTTCTTTAAAACTTTGTTTTGTTTTTGTGATCCAATCCGTGATCCGTTCCATGATCCGATCTGTGATCCGGTGCGTGATTCAATCCGTGATCCGATCTGTGATCCAGTCCCTGATCCAGTCCGTGATCTGGTCCATGATCCGATCGGTGATCCCGTCTGGTCCGATGCTGATTTTGTCATCGCCGCAAAATGTATACTGAAACCACTTCCATCAGTTAGTAGCAAAGATTTTTTGCTGAAAATCCAGGCAAGTCACATTAGCCATCACCACTCAACACCAATTCTTCATTCTGAAATTCAATGACAAGCTCCCCTCTCATCCATTGCCACCATTCCTCAATAACAGATACACAATACAGCATCCGTACCCTGAAGAAAGTTGAAGGAGAGATAAATGACAGCCCCGTGAAATTTGCAAACTTTTCAATTTTAGTGAAGTTATTGCCAGACAATAACATAGCAGCAGCAGCCTGAAAGTTGTTTGACAAAACATTATTCACCTCACCTGAGGTACAAACCTGCAATATGACCAGCAGGGCAGTTGCAACAAATCATGGCACTAGTACCATGCAAAGTGTAATCCACTGTTGTGTCATGAATACATCCAGGATGCTGACAACTTCCTCTCAACTCTTGGATTAAAAGATCCAGAGAACAGATAACTTTGGTTCCTTTGATAAGACCAAGTTCTTCATCATACTGGTCCTCTTCACATCCCTTGAGAACTTTTGATAAGGCCTGTACTCTGGCACATGCTTTGGGACAGAAGGTCTGGTTGATTTGTTCATTTCCCCTGTCTGACTCATTACAGATTTAGAAGATTTTTTGGTTTGACTGGAATTCTCTAATTCAGCTGTTATGTGGCCTACAGATTGCTGGTGGTTCTGTTCCGAATTTGGTGCGACTGGAGTCAATTCTTCTTGAGTACTAGCATCTATTTCATCCTCCCCATTGCACTCATCAAATTCTTTATCAACTTCTTCCCTACAGCGATAGCAGTGCAAGAAAGATCCAGATTTAAAGTAATACCAGTTCACTCTGGTTACTTGTATAAGTTATGCAAAAGTAAAACACTATTCAACTGGACAGCTGAAGATAGATAATCTTCATTTCAAAACGGTAAACTAATCATCAGCTAAAATTAAAATTATTTCTATTAATATTGAACTGAAACACTGCTTTCCACGAATGCCACTAGCATTAAAGGGTGAATTTTTTTAATTAGCAAACATAGCGGAGCAGAAGTTGAAAAATCGATTTTTCTCTCTTTTCATCCACAAATTGCCCTTAGGTAGATATAATATGTGATACAGTTTTTTGGAACTTCAAGTGCTTTAAATTTGAGAAAATGGAGGAAAACAATTTTTGCGTTGATGGTCACCAAAATGGCCAATCGCAAAGGCTTAAAATTAGTAATCTGAATTTAATTTCCATTCGCGTGTAAAGGAAAACCAAAACTTATCGATACCTTTTCTTGAAAGAAAAAGTGTTCAGCTATCCAAAACAGGTTAGAACTTGACTTGAATGCCATTTGAGAGTAAACAAACAATTTTTCTTTTGAGTTACTAGGTCGAATTCCTAATTTACGAATAAAATCAAGAGATATTTTTCAACATGTGCCATAACTCCAAATTCCTTGAAACTTTGGCTCTGGAACACTTTTATGTTGTTGTAAAACAAGTATTAAAATCAGCTTGGGTTATTCTTTGAGTGCTTATTGAGGCCCTCCTGAAAAACCCCAATTTTACCTAAAACATCAAAAAGTAAACAGTAGACTTCTGCATGTTGGTCTGAGGGCAAGCGGGTATAGACGTTTAAAGTCCTTGTATTATTAGTTCCTTGTACGTAACACTTTTATGTTGTTGTAAAACATGTATCAAAATCAGCTTGGGTTATTCTTCAAGTGGTTTTTAACACACTGCTGAAATAACCGGATTTTTATGAAAAACATCAGCAAGAAGTACACAATAGACTGCTTGGGTGTTTTTCTGAGGGCAAGAGAGTCTGCTGAAGTAAAGCAGTTTAACTTCTTTCATTATCATATTTTCGTTCTGCAGGTCAATATGCTTCGTTCAAGTGATGATAGATGTTAAACAAGTCATAACCAGACATGTGCATCTGACAACTCCAGTTTAATACCAAATATGGGCATTACAAAGCAATGCGGACAATGACGTAATCCGAGTAACAATGGCTATCATAACATCTTCCCCTTTTACAAAAAAAATGACTGAGTATAACCTATGAAATAAAACACTAGTAGGTTGCAAAAAAAATAAAATAAAAAAAGAAATGAAATAAAAAAAACGGAAACAAAGTTCTCAAAACGGTTTCTCAGAGTCCACACAGTTCAGTTAACAAAGTCCTTGAATCTTTTCGGTGGTTTCACTACTCTGGTACGGGTGCACTTCATGGGCGTCACAGGCACGTGATCAGTAGAGATATCAGGAACAGGATCCGAAGAAGCAACAGGCACTGGATCTATTGAGGTGCGGGGTGCTGGATCAGGTAAGTTTGAGCTGTTTTCTTTTTGATCAGGTGGAGCAGCAACAAATTGTTCTTTGGCAACTTCTGGTGGCACTTTCGAAGCAATACTTGATGCTGACTGTTCCTTAGGCTTGAGAAACTGTCTGTTTCGACGAATAGTTTCACTCCCAGTCTTCACTCGATAGGATCTGTCTGAGAGCTGTTCAACAAGGGTTCCAGCTTGCCAAGGCTTTCCCTTTTGAAGAGGTGCTACTCTAACCTCTTGACCAACTTCTAGTTGTGGTAGTGGGTGTGCCGTCCGATCGTGGTAACTCTTTGCTTTCTGCCTTTTCAACTTGATTTTCTTTTCAACACCTTCAGCAACGTGAGGGCGAAGCAAGGTTGAGGCAGTTGGCATGAGTGTCTTCATTCTTCAAGACATGAGTCTCTGTGCTGGACTTGATCCAATGGTTTCAACAGGTGTGTTTCTGTATATTAACAAGGCAAGCCATGGATCTCTTCCATCCCGGAGGGCCTTCTTGAACAAGTTCTTCGTGACTTTAACTGCAGACTCTGCTTTGCCATTAGATTGGTGATGATGCGGAGATGACGTCACATGCTTAAATTCCCACTCTTCTGCAAATCGTCTGAAATCATGACTCACAAGCTGCGATCCATTGTCAGACACTTGGACGTCTGGAATTCCGTGTCTGCTGAACTGTTCCTTTAAGAATTGTGTGATGGTTAAGGACGTCGTGTCAGCTATCTCTTGGACTTCTACAAAGTCTGAGTAATAATCTACTCAAACGACATACTCTTTCTTATGAAGAGTGAACAGGTCAATGGCTACACGGCTCCAAGGATGATCTGGAACTTTTGAAGTCTGCATGGGCTCTTTGTGGTTCTTTGACTGAAATTCTGCACACACAGAACACTGCGAGACGACTTCCTTGATCTCACTGCTCATTCCAGGCCAGAAAACTGAATCTCGTGCCTTTCTCAAACACGACTCGATGCCAAGGTGACTGGCGTGACTTCTTGCTATGATCTCTGGTCTGATCGCCTGGGGAATGATGATACGCTGATATTTGAACAAGATACCATTATGCAGAGAAATTTCATCACGATAGTTCCAGTATTCTCTGATTGGAATAGGTACCTGGCTTTTCTGTTCCGGCCATCCTACCAAAACAGTAGTCTTCAAGGTTTGGAGAACTTTATCCTGTTCTGTCGCTTTCTGCAACTGCGCTAGCCTTTCACGGGACACTGTTAATGAGTCCAAGGGGTTTAAGGATTCAATCTCCAGTGCAAAGACTTGGAACTCCTTGTCTTCCTCTCCTACACTGGCGAGGTAGGCCCTTGACAGATGGTCCGCTATGTACATCTTCGAACCTGGTTTGTATGTGACAGATTGAACCGTTGTAGGCAGAGTAGCATCCTTTGCAATCTGCATGGCGCTGCTGACACGGATTTCTTGAAGATTGCTTGGAGAGGCTTGTGGTCGGACTCTACTGTGATCTTTTCTCGTCGGGAGGGGTACTGGCTGAACCTCTGACAGGCAAACACTATCGCAAGACACTCCTTTTCTATTTGGGCATACCTTCTCTCTGTAGGTGAGTGTTTTTGAAGCAAAAGCTACAGGTTGGCCGTTCTGAAGAAGGACTGCGCCTAATCCTTTTTCGCTTGCATCACATTGAAGGGTGACTTCAGCATTGCAATCATAATATTTGAGGACGGAGTGGTTGACCACCAGCTTCTTCACTTCCTGAAAGGCTGTGTCATGCTGTTTAGCCCATGTAAATTTAGCATTCTTTGCAGTTAAGTCCCTTAGAGGCTGTGCTACATCTGCGAGTCAAGGCAGAAATCTTGAAAGATAGTTGACGAACCCGAGTAGACTTAACACTTGTTGCTTGCATGTTGGCTTGGGCATTTCTACTACAGCCTTAACTTTTGCTGGATCTGGTTTTAGTTCATCCTTACTGATGATGTATCCCATAAACTTCACTTCAGATTTCTTCAGCTCCATCTTCCTGCTGTTCAGGCGAAGATTGACTTTACGTGCTCTTTCTAGTAGCTTGAGTAAATTCTCGTGATTGTGGACTGCTTGCTCTTGTGTCTCACCAAAAGCCATGACGATGATGTCATCTCTTATCACTGCTACACCTTCCAAGTCACCCAGTTTCTCCTGCAGGTTCCTCTCGAATTCTTCTGGGGCAAGGCTTACGCCAAAGGGCATTCGAAGATAGCGATAGCGACCAAAGGGCGTCCAGAATGTTGTCAATTTGCTGCTGGCTTCGTCAAGACTTATTTGATAAAAGCCGTCTTTTGCGTCTAGCGTGCTGAAAATCTTGGCTTCGCACAACTTGGGCAGCAGTTCCTCGAGTGTGGGCATCTGATACTTCGGGCGCTGAATGGCTTTATTCAATTCTTGAGGGTCTAAACAGATGCAGAACTTGCTGGGTTTAGCCACTACAACCATATTGCTGATCCATTCTGTTGGGGCGGTTTCTTTTACGATGATGCCTCTTTCTAGATCTTCAAGCTTTGTTTGCACTTCTTTCTTGAGGGCTACAGGTATACGTCTGGAGGTGTGCTGTACTGGTACTGCTGAGGGATCCACTACGAAACTGCTGGTACCAATGTGTCCCAGTCCTTTGAAGACGTCTTGATAATCTTGCAAGATACTCTGTGCTGTTAGGGGGGCTTGTTTCACATCTAAGGATAAGACTTCAGCTTGTGATCCCAACTTGAGAAGTCCCAACTGTTGGCAAGTATCGGCAGACAGTAAAGGCTTGTTAGTACCACCAACAACTTGAAACTTGAAAACTTGAGCCTGTCCACCATGTATGACTCGAAGATTAACTTCTCCAAGGGTCTTCATCAGAGAGCTGTCAAATAATTTGAGCTTTGTTTTGCTGCTTTCCAATTGGGGGTTGCCGTCCTGTTTGATGATCGACAGGTCTCTGTAACTGAGTACATTCCAGGTTGCACCTGTGTCGAGCTGGCATTTGAGCTTGGTTTCGTGCTTGTTGTGTTCACAATAGAAGCTGAGTGTGGCGAACCATCGATTACCACAGGATTCAATAGATGAAATATCTTCCACTTTGAGAACTGATTCCTCTGAATCTGAGCTTTCATGGCTTTCTTGGATGAGATTGACCTCACTTTTCTTCTTAGCCATACACACACTAGCGAAGTAGTGCCATTTCTGACAGTAAGCGCAGCGTTTATTGTATGCTGGGCATTCATTTCGCTTGTGTTGGGTGCCACAGTATTTGCACTTTCTGTTTCCAGGGTCTGCTTTCTGTTTCTTTTTATTGGGGAAACGATTCTTTCTGGGTTTGAATTTTTCGTTTGACTGCTTCTTGAAATTCTTGCCCTTCTCTTTTCCTACAAGATTCACTTCTTCTTTTGGCGGGGCTGTGGTGTTGGATTTCATAGCTTCTAATTGTTTGCTGGTTATTTCGTTAGAACGCGCAATGTCAACTGCTTTGTCGAGCGTGAGTGACTTCTCCCGAAGAAGCTTTCCTTTTGTTCCCCTGTAGTTTAGGCCAATGATCAACTTGTCATGGATTAACTCATCAGTGAGCATTCCAAATTCACAAGACGATGCAAGTTTACGAAGGCGAGTGACATAACTGTCAACTGACTCTCCTTGATTTTGCTCACAAGAATTGAAAACATACCGTTCATAAACTACGTTGCAATGCAGTTTGAAATAGTTCTCCAACGCAGTGATGCATGTTTCCACATTATTCCTGTCCTCAGCCGAGATATTGAGATTCAGGAATGTTTGAAGGCAATCTTTTCCCATCACGGAGCGAAACGACGCCAATCGTATTTTGGAGCTTTGTTTATCGAGACCAGTCACGACTTCATAATCTTCCCATTGTTGATGGAAGAACTCCCAGTTAGCTACCAGGTTTCCTTTACAAACCATAGGTGCAGGGATCGGAAAATTTGAAGGGACATACAAGTAAACAGCAACAGCAGGCGGTGCCATGCCTTTGTCTTCGTGATCCGACATGTTGTGTTTGATCAGTGCTCGATTTGTGGAGCGAAATCGGCGTTTCCTCAGATGAGACTAACGACAACTATTTCGGAATGCTACTCCTCGTCGGCGATGAAGTTGTACTGCTATCTTTCAGTGTATTTCCTACGAAAAATGTCCTTTTACTCCTGACACCATGTTAAACAAGTCATAACCAGACCATGTGCATCTGACAACTCCAGTTTAATACCAAATATGGGCATTACAAAGCAATGTGGACAATGACGTAATCCGAGTAACAATGGCTATCATAACAATAGACAATTTCTACCTTGTTTTTCATGAAGTACTTTGATGCCATGGGTTCTTGTTTATCTCCCTTTCTTTCCTGTTCCTCAGCCTCATCTTCATCCCATTTAACAGATAACTTGGCAAGAAGAAGATCATATTCTTGGCGAGAGGAACAATGGACCAATCCCTCCTGAGTTTTCCCTCCTAACACATCTGCAACTACAGTTGAAGTTCAATTATCCATACCTTGATTATACGGATTTCTCGATTTTCCTGACTTTTCTCTAGTCCCAATTTTGTCATGAGTATTTGTTGGTCACGATCAAGATCNTTCTTTTTGATCAGGTGGAGCAGCAACAAATTGTTCTTTGGCAACTTCTGGTGGCACTTTCGAAGCAATACTTGATGCTGACTGTTCCTTAGGCTTGAGAAACTGTCTGTTTCGACGAATAGTTTCACTCCCAGTCTTCACTCGATAGGATCTGTCTGAGAGCTGTTCAACAAGGGTTCCAGCTTGCCAAGGCTTTCCCTTTTGAAGAGGTGCTACTCTAACCTCTTGACCAACTTCTAGTTGTGGTAGTGGGTGTGCCGTCCGATCGTGGTAACTCTTTGCTTTCTGCCTTTTCAACTTGATTTTCTTTTCAACACCTTCAGCAACGTGAGGGCGAAGCAAGGTTGAGGCAGTTGGCATGAGTGTCTTCATTCTTCAAGACATGAGTCTCTGTGCTGGACTTGATCCAATGGTTTCAACAGGTGTGTTTCTGTATATTAACAAGGCAAGCCATGGATCTCTTCCATCCCGGAGGGCCTTCTTGAACAAGTTCTTCGTGACTTTAACTGCAGACTCTGCTTTGCCATTAGATTGGTGATGATGCGGAGATGACGTCACATGCTTAAATTCCCACTCTTCTGCAAATCGTCTGAAATCATGACTCACAAGCTGCGATCCATTGTCAGACACTTGGACGTCTGGAATTCCGTGTCTGCTGAACTGTTCCTTTAAGAATTGTGTGATGGTTAAGGACGTCGTGTCAGCTATCTCTTGGACTTCTACAAAGTCTGAGTAATAATCTACTCAAACGACATACTCTTTCTTATGAAGAGTGAACAGGTCAATGGCTACACGGCTCCAAGGATGATCTGGAACTTTTGAAGTCTGCATGGGCTCTTTGTGGTTCTTTGACTGAAATTCTGCACACACAGAACACTGCGAGACGACTTCCTTGATCTCACTGCTCATTCCAGGCCAGAAAACTGAATCTCGTGCCTTTCTCAAACACGACTCGATGCCAAGGTGACTGGCGTGACTTCTTGCTATGATCTCTGGTCTGATCGCCTGGGGAATGATGATACGCTGATATTTGAACAAGATACCATTATGCAGAGAAATTTCATCACGATAGTTCCAGTATTCTCTGATTGGAATAGGTACCTGGCTTTTCTGTTCCGGCCATCCTACCAAAACAGTAGTCTTCAAGGTTTGGAGAACTTTATCCTGTTCTGTCGCTTTCTGCAACTGCGCTAGCCTTTCACGGGACACTGTTAATGAGTCCAAGGGGTTTAAGGATTCAATCTCCAGTGCAAAGACTTGGAACTCCTTGTCTTCCTCTCCTACACTGGCGAGGTAGGCCCTTGACAGATGGTCCGCTATGTACATCTTCGAACCTGGTTTGTATGTGACAGATTGAACCGTTGTAGGCAGAGTAGCATCCTTTGCAATCTGCATGGCGCTGCTGACACGGATTTCTTGAAGATTGCTTGGAGAGGCTTGTGGTCGGACTCTACTGTGATCTTTTCTCGTCGGGAGGGGTACTGGCTGAACCTCTGACAGGCAAACACTATCGCAAGACACTCCTTTTCTATTTGGGCATACCTTCTCTCTGTAGGTGAGTGTTTTTGAAGCAAAAGCTACAGGTTGGCCGTTCTGAAGAAGGACTGCGCCTAATCCTTTTTCGCTTGCATCACATTGAAGGGTGACTTCAGCATTGCAATCATAATATTTGAGGACGGAGTGGTTGACCACCAGCTTCTTCACTTCCTGAAAGGCTGTGTCATGCTGTTTAGCCCATGTAAATTTAGCATTCTTTGCAGTTAAGTCCCTTAGAGGCTGTGCTACATCTGCGAGTCAAGGCAGAAATCTTGAAAGATAGTTGACGAACCCGAGTAGACTTAACACTTGTTGCTTGCATGTTGGCTTGGGCATTTCTACTACAGCCTTAACTTTTGCTGGATCTGGTTTTAGTTCATCCTTACTGATGATGTATCCCATAAACTTCACTTCAGATTTCTTCAGCTCCATCTTCCTGCTGTTCAGGCGAAGATTGACTTTACGTGCTCTTTCTAGTAGCTTGAGTAAATTCTCGTGATTGTGGACTGCTTGCTCTTGTGTCTCACCAAAAGCCATGACGATGATGTCATCTCTTATCACTGCTACACCTTCCAAGTCACCCAGTTTCTCCTGCAGGTTCCTCTCGAATTCTTCTGGGGCAAGGCTTACGCCAAAGGGCATTCGAAGATAGCGATAGCGACCAAAGGGCGTCCAGAATGTTGTCAATTTGCTGCTGGCTTCGTCAAGACTTATTTGATAAAAGCCGTCTTTTGCGTCTAGCGTGCTGAAAATCTTGGCTTCGCACAACTTGGGCAGCAGTTCCTCGAGTGTGGGCATCTGATACTTCGGGCGCTGAATGGCTTTATTCAATTCTTGAGGGTCTAAACAGATGCAGAACTTGCTGGGTTTAGCCACTACAACCATATTGCTGATCCATTCTGTTGGGGCGGTTTCTTTTACGATGATGCCTCTTTCTAGATCTTCAAGCTTTGTTTGCACTTCTTTCTTGAGGGCTACAGGTATACGTCTGGAGGTGTGCTGTACTGGTACTGCTGAGGGATCCACTACGAAACTGCTGGTACCAATGTGTCCCAGTCCTTTGAAGACGTCTTGATAATCTTGCAAGATACTCTGTGCTGTTAGGGGGGCTTGTTTCACATCTAAGGATAAGACTTCAGCTTGTGATCCCAACTTGAGAAGTCCCAACTGTTGGCAAGTATCGGCAGACAGTAAAGGCTTGTTAGTACCACCAACAACTTGAAACTTGAAAACTTGAGCCTGTCCACCATGTATGACTCGAAGATTAACTTCTCCAAGGGTCTTCATCAGAGAGCTGTCAAATAATTTGAGCTTTGTTTTGCTGCTTTCCAATTGGGGGTTGCCGTCCTGTTTGATGATCGACAGGTCTCTGTAACTGAGTACATTCCAGGTTGCACCTGTGTCGAGCTGGCATTTGAGCTTGGTTTCGTGCTTGTTGTGTTCACAATAGAAGCTGAGTGTGGCGAACCATCGATTACCACAGGATTCAATAGATGAAATATCTTCCACTTTGAGAACTGATTCCTCTGAATCTGAGCTTTCATGGCTTTCTTGGATGAGATTGACCTCACTTTTCTTCTTAGCCATACACACACTAGCGAAGTAGTGCCATTTCTGACAGTAAGCGCAGCGTTTATTGTATGCTGGGCATTCATTTCGCTTGTGTTGGGTGCCACAGTATTTGCACTTTCTGTTTCCAGGGTCTGCTTTCTGTTTCTTTTTATTGGGGAAACGATTCTTTCTGGGTTTGAATTTTTCGTTTGACTGCTTCTTGAAATTCTTGCCCTTCTCTTTTCCTACAAGATTCACTTCTTCTTTTGGCGGGGCTGTGGTGTTGGATTTCATAGCTTCTAATTGTTTGCTGGTTATTTCGTTAGAACGCGCAATGTCAACTGCTTTGTCGAGCGTGAGTGACTTCTCCCGAAGAAGCTTTCCTTTTGTTCCCCTGTAGTTTAGGCCAATGATCAACTTGTCATGGATTAACTCATCAGTGAGCATTCCAAATTCACAAGACGATGCAAGTTTACGAAGGCGAGTGACATAACTGTCAACTGACTCTCCTTGATTTTGCTCACAAGAATTGAAAACATACCGTTCATAAACTACGTTGCAATGCAGTTTGAAATAGTTCTCCAACGCAGTGATGCATGTTTCCACATTATTCCTGTCCTCAGCCGAGATATTGAGATTCAGGAATGTTTGAAGGCAATCTTTTCCCATCACGGAGCGAAACGACGCCAATCGTATTTTGGAGCTTTGTTTATCGAGACCAGTCACGACTTCATAATCTTCCCATTGTTGATGGAAGAACTCCCAGTTAGCTACCAGGTTTCCTTTACAAACCATAGGTGCAGGGATCGGAAAATTTGAAGGGACATACAAGTAAACAGCAACAGCAGGCGGTGCCATGCCTTTGTCTTCGTGATCCGACATGTTGTGTTTGATCAGTGCTCGATTTGTGGAGCGAAATCGGCGTTTCCTCAGATGAGACTAACGACAACTATTTCGGAATGCTACTCCTCGTCGGCGATGAAGTTGTACTGCTATCTTTCAGTGTATTTCCTACGAAAAATGTCCTTTTACTCCTGACACCATGTTAAACAAGTCATAACCAGACCATGTGCATCTGACAACTCCAGTTTAATACCAAATATGGGCATTACAAAGCAATGTGGACAATGACGTAATCCGAGTAACAATGGCTATCATAACAATAGACAATTTCTACCTTGTTTTTCATGAAGTACTTTGATGCCATGGGTTCTTGTTTATCTCCCTTTCTTTCCTGTTCCTCAGCCTCATCTTCATCCCATTTAACAGATAACTTGGCAAGAAGAAGATCATATTCTTGGCGAGAGGAACAATGGACCAATCCCTC